GACAACATAGGAGTTCACTTGGATTTGATCTAGTTTTGATCAGACCGATCCGGTTCTCACTTGGATCTGATTTATTTTGATCAGACCCGACTTGGTTCACTTGGATCAGACCCACTTGATCAAACCTGACACTAGTCAGTTGGATCTGATTTTTTAGCTCAGATCCAACTCTCACTTGTTCAGATCTATAGTTCAGTTCGAGCCCGATTCGAATCCGCTTCGAACCCTGACTCCACGGCCCATTAGTGCATGACTGATCCTGAAGCTGAAGACGCCCAGTTTGTGTACGATCCAGAGACCGGCGTGGTTGATTTACAGCTCTCCCAGTAGTTTGATTATCAGCCGTTCGAGATCGTAGCCGGATACATTGAGCGCGTGACTCCTCAGATTGCCGAGAGCGTGGGGAGTCGCTTGGGGATTAGTTCGTGGCATCGACGTTTCTATCCAGACACATCGCTTCATCCCAGTTACGTAGCTCTCAGAGAACTCCCGCCACTCAGATTTGGTGTCGTTACACCGCCTCCAGAGGTCTCTCACGTCGAACCAGTTCAGCCGACGAAAGTTTAATTTTCTTTAGACCCAGTATTTTTGAAACCACTATTGCGTGCATGTTACTATCAATATTAATATCAATTGTGATTGTGTTGTATTCTGTTTGATTTAGTGAGCGAGTGATTCCGTTGCCAAGTATATCTGCAAATCTATATATTACGAGTCGAACCTTATTAAGAGGACAAATCATTACATTTATTATCTGAATAATTTACAAAGGTCTAAACTTAGTACATTTGCAACTTTTGTTTAAAAACCATCTGGAGCTTCACTTTATTCTCGAGCTTCCTACCTAGATCGATCGCTGACTTGGTGAACCATTATTGTCGATGTTATCCATACCTACATACACATTGTTTCATATTATTTTTGGTATCAGAGAGTGGTTCTAGGTTAGGAAATTTTAGATTAGTTTAATTGAGTCTTTTATTTGATTAAAAAAAATTCATCGCATTTAGCTGCTAGTGCATACCAATTATCTCATTTAGTTGTAGTGCATGCCCACTCGCACATGTCTTCCTTATCGATTATGAGAGTCAAATGAATCAACTAGTGAGTCCAACATGTCAGGTAGTCTAGAATCCGAACTCCTTAAGAAATTCGAAGAGCTAGCAGGATAACTAGGTGTCATAGTCCAGGAGTGCAGAGCTACCCGTGAAGCCCTGACGGATTTTCAGAATGAAACCAACAAAAGACTCGCTAGACTCGAAAAAGCACGTGTTGCAACCCCGCCGCAAGGTCAAGGCTATGAACACATCGTTCATCGACCCCCACATCAACTTGTGCCTGATCCAGATGCGTAATACCTGAGGAGCATTAAAGTCGAAGCACTGACCTTTGATGACAAGCTCGACCCACAAGCTTTCTTGGACTGGCTGAAGAATATGAATCACTACTTGATTGGTATGCCCTGATGGAGCCTCGAAAGGTCAAGTTCGCCGCAATGAAGCTTACCGGACTAGCTTGTCAATATTAGTCCAACCTAGAAACGTTAAGGCATATTAGAGGTGAGTTACCGATTTAAACTTGGCGAGAAATGACCGACGAACTGAAACGAAAATATCTCCCGCCATCGTTTTATCAGAGATTGCTCGACAAATGGCATCGCCTTACTTAAGGAACCAAATCTGCGAAAGAATATGTTGCTCAATTTGACGAATTATTCACTCGATGCAGCACCATTGAGCAAGAGGCGTCAATGAAAGTCTTATCGAAGTTTAGAGCTGGATTGAGAAGTGACCTCCAAACTGAACTTTTTGCTAGAGGAGTAGATACCATTGAGAGAGCCTACGTCTTAGTTCAAGATTTGGATGAAGCTAAATCCCACAAATATCATAGGAATCAAGACTTCCGAACTCATTCCTTCCAGTCCTCCCGTGTCCCTACGTCTAGTCAATCTCAGAGTCGATCTAACCCTAGTTCTTCCCAGCCTAGAGTCGACCCCAAGGGCAAGGAACCAGAAAGAGATTTCTCCAAGATTGGCCCTCACGTCAAGTGCTACAAATGTCAAGGATATGGACATGTTTCTGCGAATTGCTCAACCCATCACAAAGTCTCTATCATCGATAAGCAACGTGAATATGACACTGAACTTGATAAAGATGAATTTGTCCATCAAGTTGACGATGATACCGATGATTTTGAGGATGACATAGATGATACTGTCTTAGGTTGTCTTAGATAAATTGAGATCCTGACCATATCTGTTGTTAGATACGCCATCTCTCAACCCAAGGCTGTTAATGATTGGAGGCGTACTTTTATCTTCCACACGTTCACAAAGATTGACAATAAGAATTGCAAAGTGATCGTGGATAGTGAAAGCTGCATTAATACGGTCTCATCGGCTGTGATAGCCAAAATTGGTCTTAAGGCTGTACCCCATCCTAAGCCCTACAAAATATCGTGAATTAATGACACTTCAATTCATGTCCAAGAGAGGTGTTTAGTCCCTCTTCAATTTTCCATTTATAAGGACAAGGTTTGGTGCGATGTTCTGAAGATGGATGTGGGTCAAGTTATTGTTGGAAGACCCTGGTTGTTTGATTATGATGTTCATATCTTCGGGCGATCAAACATGCTATTATTCGAGCATGACGAGAAGAAGGTCAAGATCCTTCCGGTTCAACCGAAAGGTAGTGACAAACAGCCCAATCTAGACAAGTCTTCCAAATACGTTAACTTGATTGGAGCCAAAAAGGTCGATCGTGAGCTAGTCAATGGAGCCCCATTTTTCATTCTCACTGCAAGAGAAGATCCTAAGGATATTACCGATATAGTTCCGCCAGAAGCCACTCATGTGTTGGAAGAATTCGCTGATGTCTTCCCTGAGGACCTTCCAGATCAATTGCCCCCGACACGTGACATCAAACACGCAATTGATTTAGTTCAGGGAGCAACTCTTCCTAATTTACCTCACTACAGGATGAACCCTAATGAACATGCAGAGCTGAAAAGGCAAGTTGATGAATTGCTAAAAAAAGGTTTTGTGAAAGAAAGCATGAGCCCCTGTGCGGTCCCCGCATTACTGACGTTAAAGAAAGATGGAACATGACGTATGTGTGTGGATAGTCGTGCAATTAACAAGATCACGGTAAAGTATCGTTTCCTATTCCCCGATTGGATGATATGTTTGATCTAATGTCTGGAGCCACTATTTTTTCTAAGATTGATCTTAAGAGTGACTACCATCAGATTCGTATCCGTTCTGATGACTAATGGAAGACCGCTTTCAAGACGAAAGACGGCTTGTACGAATGGATGGTCATGCCTTTTGGTTAATGCTCCGAGTAATTTTATGAGAGTGATGACTCAAGTACTTCTCCGCTTCACTGGAAAATTTTTGGTGGTATACTTTGATGATATCCTTATTTACATTAACTCTCGTGAGCAACACGTAGATCATCTGCGTTAAGTATGTGTTGTGTTAAGAAAAGAGCAACTCTATGCCAATCTTAAGAAATGTATTTTTCTTACACACCAAGTCATTTTTCTAGGATTTGTGGTCTCTTCTAAAGGAGTATTCGCTGACCCTGAAAAGTTAGAGCCATCGAAGAATGGTCCGAGCCTAAGAACATTAGAGATGTTCGAAGCTTTCACGGACTCGCTACTTTTTATCGTCGGTTTATAAAGGGTTTCAGTACCATCATGACCCTTATTATCGATTGCTTGAAGGCGAATTTGAGTGGTCAAAACCTGCTACTAAGGCATTCGTGAAAATCAAGCAGAGAATGTCATAAGCACCTGTTATGCGCTTGTCCGATTTTTCTAAGGTCTTTAAAGT